TGGTAATTAAATAAAAAGTTCAGTTTGATAAAAATATATAAGATGACACAACATAACTTACTGAAAATAAAAGAAATTATGTAATAAAAGAAAGTGAACTTTCTGAACGTTATGAAAATTATGTTCCAGGGAAAAATGTGATGAATATGTAATGTTGTAGCCATAGTTGGTATAGTGACTTATTGTTATAGCCATAGTTGATATAGTGACTTATTGTTGTAGCCATAGTTGATATAGTGACTTATTGTTGTAGCCATAGTTGGTATAGTGACTTATTGTTGTAGCCATAGTTGGTATAGTGACTTATTGTTATAGCCATAGTTGGTATAGTGACTTATTGTTGTAGCCATAGTTGGTATAGTGACTTATTGTTATAGCCATAGTTGATATAGTGACTTATTGTTGTAGCCATAGTTGGTATAGTGACTTATTGTTGTAGCCATAGTTGGTATAGTGACTTATTGTTGTAGCCATAGTTGGTATAGTGACTTATTGTTGTAGCCATAGTTGGTATAGTGACTTATTGTTCTAGCCATAGTTGGTATAGTGACTTATTGTTCTAGCCATAGTTGGTATAGTGACTTATTGTTATAGCCATAGTTGGTATAGTGACTTATTGTTGTAGCCATAGTTGGTATAATGACTTATTGTTATAGCCATAGTTGATATAGTGACTTATTGTTGTAGCCATAGTTGGTATAGTGACTTATTGTTGTAGCCATAGTTGGTATAGTGACTTATTGTTGTAGCCATAGTTGGTATAGTGACTTATTGTTGTAGCCATAGTTGGTATAGTGACTTATTGTTGTAGCCATAGTTGGTATAGTGACTTATTGTTGTAGCCATAGTTGGTATAGTGACTTATTGTTCTAGCCATAGTTGGTATAGTGACTTATTGTTATAGCCATAGTTGGTATAGTGACTTATTGTTGTAGCCATAGTTGGTATAGTGACTTATTGTTGTAGCCATAGTTGGTTTATAGTGACTTATTGTTGTAGCCATAGTTGGTATAGTGACTTATTGTTGTAGCCATAGTTGGTATAGTGACTTATTGTTATAGCCATAGTTGGTATAGTGACTTATTGTTGTAGCCATAGTTGGTATAGTGACTTATTGTTATAGCCATAGTTGGTATAGTGACTTATTGTAGTCACTGTATAGTGACTTACTGCTATAGTCATAGTATATGGCTTATTGTTTTAGTGGGTCACATTACAGTGACAGCTGGGCTGGAACACATGAGTGACAACTAGGTATAAACAGCATGCAAGTGACAACTATTCTAAAAATCTCTGGCCCACCTCACAGGTCCACTTCCATTGACAGGCCCGCTCACATGTGGCCATGTGTCTACCTGCTGCAGCTCTCAACATCTTCCACTCACTCCGGTGAAAAAGTCTCCATCTTAAAGCACCTTTATTAGTTTGATAAAGCCTATTGTGCAGGCGAAAAGTTTTTCAGCAATGATTGCGTGATGTTGCACATGCAACTTGAAGTCATCAACTTGTTGGTATTATATCTATGCTCTGATAATAAGTATCTTTATCTGTGCCTCGTAGGTATAACATAGTTTGAACTGCTTATAGCTAAGACTGTGGCCAAAGTCGGATTAAGATTTTGTAGGTCCCTGGGCTGCAGGTACTGTGAGGTCCCTGCGCTGCAGGTACTGTGAGGTCCCTGGGCTGCAGGTACTGTCAGGTCCCTGGGCTGCAGGTACTGTCAGGTCCCTGGGCTGCAGGTACTGTGAGGTCCCTGGGCTGCAGGTACTGTCAGGTCCCTGGGCTGCAGGTACTGTCAGGTCCCTGGGCTGCAGGTACTGTCAGGTCCCTGGGCTGCAGGTACTGTCAGGTCCCTGGGCTGCAGGTACTGTCAGGTCCCTGGGCTGCAGGTACTGTGAGGCCCCTGGGCTGCAGGTACTGTGAGGTCCCTGGGCTGCAGGTACTGTGAGGTCCCTGGGCTGCAGGTACTGTCAGGTCCCTGGGCTGCAGGCACTGTCAGGTCCCTGGGCTGCAGGTACTGTGAGGCCCCTGGGCTGCAGGTACTGTGAGGTCCCTGGGCTGCAGGAACTGTGAGGTCCCTGGGCTGCAGGTATTGCCAGGTCCCTGGGCTGCAGATACTGTCAGGTCCCTGGGCTGCAGGTACTGTCAGGTCCCTGGGCTGCAGGTACTGTGAGGCCCCTGGGCTGCAGGTACTGTGAGGTCCCTGGGCTGCAGGTACTGTCAGGTCCCTGGGCTGCAGGTATTGTCAGGTCCCTGGGCTGCAGGTACTGTCAGGTCCCTGGGCTGCAGGTACTGTCAGGTCCCTGGGCTGCAGGCACTGTCAGGTCCCTGGGCTGCAGGTACTGTCAGGTCCCTGGGCTGCAGGTACTGTGAGGCCCCTGGGCTGCAGGTACTGTCAGGTCCCTGGGCTGCAGGTACTGTGAGGTCCCTGGGCTGCAGGTACTGTCAGGTCACTGAGCTGCAGGTACAGTCAGGTCCCTGGGCTGCAGGTACTGTCAGGTCCCTGGGCTGCAGGTACTGTCAGGTCCCTGAGCTGCAGGTACTGTCAGGTCCCTGGGCTGCAGGTACTGTCAGGTCCCTGGGTTGCAGGTACTGTCAGGTCCCTGGGTTGCAGGTACTGTCAGGCCCCTAGGCTGCAGGTACTGTCAGGTCCCTGGGCTGCAGGTACTGTCAGGTCCCTGGGCTGCAGGTACTGTCAGGTCCCTGGGCTGCAGGTACTGTCAGGTCCCTGGGCTGCAGGTACTGTCAGGTCCCTGGGCTGCAGGTACTGTCAGGTCCCTGGGCTGCAGGTACTATCAGGTCCCTGGGCTGCAGGTACTGTCAGGTCCCTGGGCTGCAGGTACTGTCAGGTCTCTGGGCTGCAGGTACTGTCAGGTCCCTGGGTTGCAGGTACTGTCAGGTCCCTGGGCTGCAGGTACTGTCAGGCCCCTGGGCTGCAGGTACTGTCAGGTCCCTGGGCTGCAGGTACTGTCAGGTCCCTGGGCTGCAGGTACTGTCAGGTCCCTGGGCTGCAGGTACTGTCAGGTCCCTGGGCTGCAGGTACTGTCAGGTCCATGGGCTGCAGGTACTGTCAGGTCCCTGGGCTGCAGGTACTGTCAGGTCCCTGGGCTGCAGATACTGTCAGGTCCCTGGGCTGCAGGTACTGTCAGGTCCTTGGGCTGCAGGTACTGTCAGATCCCTGGGCTGCAGGTACTCTCAGGTCCCTGGGCTGCAGGTACTGTCAGGTCCCTGGGCTGCAGGTATTGTCAGGTCCCTGGGTTGCAGGTACTGTGAGGTCCCTGGGCTGCAGGTACTGTAGGGTCCCTGGGCTGCAGGTACTGTGAGGTCCCTGGGCTTCAGGAACTGTGAGGTCCCTGGGCTCTAGGTACTGTCAGGTCCTTGGGCTGCAGGTACTGTCATGTCCCTGGGTTGCAGGTACTGTCAGGTCCCTGGACTGCAGGTACTGTGAGGCCCCTGGGCTGCAGGTACTGTCAGGTCCCTGGGCTGCAGGTTCTGTCAGGTCCCTGGGCTGCAGGTTCCGTTAGGTCCCTGAGCTGCAGGTACTGTCAGGTCCCTGGGCTGCAGGTACTGTCACGTCCCTGGGCTGCAGGTACTGTCAGGTCCCTGGGCTGCAGGTACAGTCAGGTCCCTGGGCTGCAGGTAGTCAGGTCCCTGGGCTGCAGGTACTGTCAGGTTCCTGGGTTGCAGGTACTGTCAGGTCCCTGGACTGCAGGTACTGTGAGGCCCCTGGGCTGCAGGTACTGTCAGGTCCCTGGGCTGCAGGTTCTGTCAGGTCTCTGGGCTGCAGGTTCTGTCAGGTCCCTGAGCTGCAGGTACTGTCAGGTCCCTGGGCTGCAGGTACTGTCAGGTCCCTGGGCTGCAGGTACTGTCAGGTCCCTGGGCTGCAGGTACAGTCAGGTCCCTGGGCTGCAGGTAGTCAGGTCCCTGGGCTGCAGGTACTGTCAGGTTCCTGGGTTGCAGGTACTGTCAGGTCCCTGGACTGCAGGTACTGTGAGGCCCCTGGGCTGCAGGTACTGTCAGGTCCCTGGGTTGCAGGTTCTGTCAGGTCTCTGGGCTGCAGGTTCTGTCAGGTCCCTGAGCTGCAGGTACTGTCAGGTCCCTGGGCTGCAGGTACTGTCAGGTCCCTGGGCTGCAGGTACTGTCAGGTCCCTGGGCTGCAGGTACAGTCAGGTCCCTGGGCTGCAGGTAGTCAGGTCCCTGGGCTGCAGGTACTGTCAGGTTCCTGGGCTGCAGGTACTGTCAGGTCCCTGGGCTGCAGGTTCTGTTAGGTCCCTGGGCTGCAGGTTCTGTTAGGTCCCTGCTGCAGGTCTGTTAGGTCCTGCTGAGTTCTGTTAGGTCCTGGCCTGCGGTTCGTTAGGTCCTGGGCTGCAGGTTCTGTTAGGTCCCTGGCCTGCAGGTTCTGTTAGGTCCCTGGGCTGCAGGTTCTGTTAGGTCCCTGGCCTGCAGGTTCTGTTAGGTCCCTGGGCTGCAGGTTCTGTTAGGTCCCCAGTGATATTTTCAAATGGTAAAAAATTAATTACAACAGTCAATGGTTCATCATACACGTGGTGTAATAACATAGATAAATTTACAGCAGTAACTGAACACTTTCACTTAATCTCTGGAGTCTTTCCAGCTCCTGACTCCCACGCTTTATTCCAACTCTGACCAAGGGTAACACTTTGGTTGGGGATGGGATCATGGAAGGAATATTCTGGGGGTGCGGAAAATGGGAAGACTATGGTAGGGGTTTGGTGATACAGGAGACGGTGGCGTGAGACGGGAGTTAATATCTAAGAACCTTAGTGATATCAATTACCCCGGGGATGAATGAAGGTGCTGTGGATTAAGGGTCTGGAAGGAATGGGGTTGTGAGCAGTACCAAGTGTTACGTTCCTGTGTAAATTCCTCCACTTGATTCACACATGTGTAATTATAAATATATATTATTAGTTTAAGTTTTTAGTTTATACCATGTCTTAATGTGCTACATAGCATACCAACAAATGTGTGTGTCGTACCTGGGTTTGGGACGACACGTTCATGGTGTCCTCTGGGTTGATGAATGATGGGCAACTCTGTCTCCTCGTCTCCTCTGCTGCGCCGGTTACCATCTCTGTCATATCAAGTTATCTTTAACAATGTCTAAGCGGTTTGTTATCTTTGAAAATTTAACTTCTCTCTAAGTTACTCGTTTCCTTTATCTAAAATGATTTCTCCCCCTAGTTTTCTATTATTTTTCTAAGACTCTCAATTATTTAAAGTTTCTTAATAGTCAGTATTGTTATATTAATTCTGACCTTCAGTTATGTACTTTCGTCTGAGTTTCACTTCTCTTCAATTAACCATAATATTTTCTCACCACATTATCTACCACTTGTGTTTATATCTCTCATCTGTTACTTTGGTTCTTCCTTGTTCCTCAGGTTTACTTTGTTTCGCCTACATTAATATAATCATTTTAACTTAATTATCCCTTAGTTTTCAATTAATAATCCACAAAACCACCAGTTTCTAATATATTAAATCAAATAAACTCAGTTTTGTGTGTAAGTCAATAATCTACACTGTTCTCTTTTAAAAAAAAACTGAGAGAGTACACAATGTGTATTTTTAATATCTTGTGGCTTTGATTTTTAGTGCCTTGAGGATTGGTATTTAACACAGTCATAATTTTAATTTTTAAATTTAGGGTTCTGGGCCTCTAGTAGAGGCAACAGATAAGCCAAATGAAGACATAAACCAGATGAACTCCTGTTGACCCTTTTGAACTCTAATTCCTAGGCCTTTTGTGTATCCATATGCTCTTGCGTATTGTGCATAACATATCCATGCACAGGCTGGATATGTTATAAACAATAAACTAGCCGCCTCGACAACAATGTCTACTCGAAAATCCTAGCAGGACAACAAGTCCAGATATGTGACTGTACTGAAGTTGAGGAAGACTACAACTCAGTCTTATATTAAGCACTCAGCACCACAAGTGACACAACTGACAGTCTTATATTAAGCACTCAGCACCACAAGTGACACAACTGACAGTCTTATATTAAGCACTCAGCACCACAAGTGACACAACTGACAGTCTTATATTAAACACTCAGCACCACAAGTGACACAACTGACAGTCTTATATTAAGCACTCAGCACCACAAGTGACACAACTGGCAGTCTTATATTAAGCACTCAACACCACAAGTGACACAACTGACAGTCTTATATTAAGCACTCAGCACCACAAGTGACACAACTGACAGTCTTATATTAAGCACTCAGCACCACAAGTGACACAACTGACAGTCTTATATTAAGCACTCAGCACCACAAGTGACATAACTGACAGTCTTATATTAAGCACTCAGCACCACAAGTGACACAACTGACAGTCCTTATATTAAGCACTCAGCACCACAAGTGACACAACTGACAGTCTTATATTAAGCACTCAGCACCACAAGTGACACAACTGACAGTCTTATATTAAGCACTCAACACCACAAGTGACACAAATGACAGTCTTATATTAAGCATTCATCGCCCCAAGGTCACAACTTGGTCATATATTAAGCACTCAACACCACAACTTACTGTCTAACGTCAAGGTGAGGATGATGGTCCCTGACGGAGGGTCTGTGACTCTCCTCTGGCATAATGTCTTCCCTCTCCAGGGCGTACTTGTTGAACACTACTGCAACTCGTCCTTCATCCTGCACAAACAAATACAGTTAATTCAACATTCAGTAGTAGCAACATCTGGCTGTTGTTTATTACTTATTAAAATAAGCGACATTAAAAAGTCTCAAACTCCTCTAACTAGAACGACATGATTTGCGACATCCTCTATTTACTAATAGTTCTGTATGCTTAGTGGATATCTCCTGTAATAACACAAAATGTGGTGTGATGTAATAATTTGCTTTCAAATGAATAACAACCCTAGGACTGGAGTGTGTGTGTGTGTGTGTGTGTGTGTGTGTACTCACCTAGTTGAGGTTGCGGGGGTCGAGTCCGAGCTCCTGGCCCCGCCTCTTCACTGATCGCTACTAGGTCACTCTCCCTGAGCCGTGAGCTTTATCGTACCTCTGCTTAAAGCTATGTATGGATCCTGCCTCCACTACATCGCTTCCCAAACTATTCCACTTACTGACTACTCTGTGGCTGAAGAAATACTTCCTAACATCCCTGTGATTCATCTGTGTCTTTAGCTTCCAACTGTGTCCCCTTGTTACTGTGTCCAATCTCTGGAACATCCTGTTTTTGTCCACCTTGTCAATTCCTCTCAGTATTTTGTATGTCGTTATCATGTCCCCCCTATCTCTCCTGTCCTCCAGTGTCGTCAGGTTGATTTCCCTTAACCTCTCCTCGTAGGACATACCTCTTAGCTCTGGACTAGTCTTGTTGCAAACCTTTGCACTTTCTCTAGTTTCTTTACGTGCTTGGCTAGGTGTGGGTTCCAAACTGGTGCCGCATACTCCAATATGGGCCTAACGTATACGGTGTACAGGGTCCTGAACGATTCCTTATTAAGATGTCGGAATGCTGTTCTGAGGTTTGCTAGGCGCCCCATATGCTGCAGCAGTTATTTGGTTGATGTGCGCTTCAGGAGATGTGCCTGGTGTTATACTCACCCCAAGATCTTTTTCCTTGAGTGAGGTTTGTAGTCTCTGACCCCCTAGACTGTACTCCGTCTGCGGCCTTCTTTGCCCTTCCCCAATCTTCATGACTTTGCACTTGGTGGGATTGAACTCCAGGAGCCAATTGCTGGACCAGTTCTGCAGCCTGTCCAGATCCCTTTGTAGTTCTGCCTGGTCTTCGATCGAGTGTATTCTTCTCATCAACTTCACGTCATCTGCAAACAGGGACACCTCAGAGTCTATTCCTTCCGTCATGTCGTTCACAAATGTGTGTGTGTGTGTGTGTGTGTGTGTGTGTGTGTGTGTATCTGAGAGCAGAGGATGAGTGACATCTCTTAAACCTGGCTCTTAACTCTTATCAAGCAGCTTCACTGGTTCCTGGCTGCTGGACTCAAACATACCTACTCTTAAAACTGTATATAGTGTTTGCTTTCACCATTCTTTATTCACTTCCCCACTACCATAATAAATTGCAGGGAGCGGAAAGAACAGTAGTGGTGGAATTATGGAAAAATTTCCGACTGTAACGGTGGCCTTAGCGGAAACCATCAAGATTTCTAAGTAGCTATGCAATTTTCTAGGTGGTCAGAGTATTAAAATAAATTTAATAATAAGGACTTAAAAATAAGTATATCGGCTTTTTGCCGATGATACAGTGCTTTTGGGAGATTCTGAACAGAAGTTACAAAGGCTGGTGGACGTATTTAAAACGGAATGTAAAAGAAGGAAATGAAAAATGAATATGGGAATGAGCAAGGTGATGAGGATAACAAAAAATTTGGGTAATGGAAGACTGGATATCTTACTGGAAGAAGGGAGTATGGAGGAAGTAATGTGTTCACATATTATGGAATGGACTTGTTGGTGGATTTGTTGTTGGATTTGTGTATGAAAGATGAGGTGAACCATAGATCTGACGAAGGGAGAAAGGTGGGTGGTGCACTGAATCGTCTTTGGAGATAAATAACGTTATCCATAGAATCAAAAAGGGGAATGTATAAGAGTATAGAGGTAAACACGCTGTTATACGGGTGTGGAGCATCAGTGGTGAGCGTTGCAGCGAGGAGGAGGCTGGAAGCACCGGAGACGTCGTGTCTGTGAGCAATGTGTGGTGTGAACATTAAGCAGAGAATTCGTAGTTTGGAGATTATAAAGACACTTGTACAACATTTCGGTATATTTTTACTGGAAACGTTTCTCCACCAAGTGGCTGATTCAGTTAAATGTAGAGAAGAATGGTAGAAGTTGGAGTCGATGCGTTCAGTCCATCACTACTGATAAAAATAAAGAATATGTGCTGAGATGGGGCTTATATACTGCTGAGAGGTGAGGTGAAGCAGTGTTAGACTGCGTTACCAATTAAAAAACCCACTAGTGGGTGCCACTGGTGACTCCATGTACCACTTTTTCACTTCAGCAGTCTGCAGTAAGTAAGCCCCTTCTCGGTGCATATGCTGTACTTTTATCAACATTGATGGACTAAACACATCGACTCCAGGCTGAGGGACTGATTACCTCAAACTCCTACTAATCTTTTACCATTCTTCTCTGTATTGCACTGTAGAAGCCGCTGGCTGGCGAATTGTTTCCAGTATAAAGATACCCAAATGTAGCACTAATATTTAATGTATCAACTTGTCGGTTTTCTAAAGAGATTAGAAGGAAGTGCGAGGTTATTAAATGCGTTATCCAGAGAGCTGAGGCGGTTTGTACATTTAGAAAGGATGGAGCAAAACAGGATAGCTTGGAGTGTGTATAAATCTGTGGTGGACGGAATGAGAGGTTGAGGTTGTCCTGGGAAAGGTTGGAAGAAGGGTGGGGGGGGGTGGAAGGAGGAATAGAATGAAAACATGGACATCAAACAGGTGTGTGTATGTTAAATATGAATGAGTGGAATCAAGTGGTTTTTATGACTTAAAGGGTTGCTGGAATGAAAGGATTCAGGGAAAACTTGTTAGCCGCACTTGAGTTCTGGAGGTGGAAGTACAATACTTACATTCTGAAGGAGGGATGAGGATATTGCAATTTGGATGACAAAAGAATGATTGAGTGATGACGAAAGTGCTTCTTCTCTTTTGGGTCACCATATCTCTCTTTCTCTCTCTCTCTCTCATAATATGTCTTAGTTTCTGCCTTCATAATCTGCCTTCAGATTATATAATCTGGGGTCTATTCTTTTCATAAGAGTTTGCTACGGTCATCTGCCAATCATCCAACTGTGGTGTTACCCTGCTACTCTTGTCAGTGTCACAACAGCTGTTGTTCTGTGATGTTATTCCTGTAAGCGTACTCCGTGAGTGAATGTGGTTTCGCCAAACTCTCTTCTTCGATTCATGACTACTGCTGAAATTCATGATGGATATTACACCTAGGAAGCGTGGAAATATTGTAGTTCTTAGAAAACATGCTGATTTGAGTATCAGACAGATCGCCGAAAATTTGAGCCTAGCAAAGTAAACTGTTGGTTCGATTCTGAAGACAGCTGACGACACTGGTGATTGTGGAGCGCTGTGTTGAAAACTTTCTTGAAGAAAACGCAAGACAACACCTCACGATGGCAAGGTTATCATGAGAAACAGTATTAAGGATCCTAAGAAAACCAGCAAAGATCAATGAAGAGATTTGGCTTCAGTTGGCGTAAATGTTGATTCTTCATCTGTTCGATGAAGGCTTCTGGAAGTTGGCTGAACTGAGAGAGAACCAATAAAGAACAATTGTCTTTACTGACTGCTGTTATGAAGTAAAAACAGCTGCGGTGGGCACTTGATCAGATGTGGTGCATTTTGAAGTATATGACTGCAGATCAGTGGTAGTGAGACGGAGCAGAGGTAAACCTCTTCGGAATACACACATTCAACAAGCGCCAAAACACCCACTTAAGATGTTTTGGGGTAGTCTTACTGCTAAAGGCCCTGGACGTCTTGTTATTGTTGAGGGAACGATGAACAGTTACAAATACAAGGCAATCCGGGCAACTAACTTGATTCCCATTGTGGATAGAAACTTTCCGGAAGATGAAGGTATATTCCAGTAGTATCTTGCTCCATGCCACACTTTCAGAAAAATGCTGACATTCTTCGAGGAGAATGGGGTAAGTGTTCTAAATTGGCCTGGAAACCCTACTGATCTCAATCTAATTGAGAATATGTGGGCAATAACCAAACACAGGATCACGAAACAACAGCTGAAGTGAGGAAAAGCTAATTGCTACTGTTATTAGGACCTGGTACCAAGACGAAGAACTTGTCAAAATTTGTTCAATATCGGACGATTCTATGTCAAAGTGTGTAGCAATGATCACAAAAGCAAAGGATAGTCACATCTATTATTAAACCAATTATCTGTAATATTGCCGTATATTTTTCAAATGAATATTAATTTTCCAAATAAATGTCTTGGTGGGAGACGACTAGTGTGTCGCAATTAATATGCGACATACCAATCGTCTTGAAGCAAGGAAGGGTGATCCAGAAAAGAAGAAACAGTTTCACCATCAGTCACACCATCACTGTCTTGCCAGAGACGTGCCGACACTGCACTCTAGATGCCCTTGAAAATTGCAAATATTCATAAATAAATATTACACGTTTATATATTGAGGCACCACCTCCAGAAATAACTTGGGAGAAGTACATTCTCCGAGTTATCAGCGCGGGTGTGTTATCTTCTCCTAACAACCCCATCTCCCCCATTCCCCTTTTAAAATATAAAAAAATATTCTGATAGATTGTTCATCATACAACATAAATGCCATTAATACCTCTTTGTGCGGCGGCGTCAGATGATCGGAACCTTTAGAGTTCTGTGATGATCTTGTGAAGTGGCTGCGCTTCAGACGGTCGGTTGCTGTGTATCCCCCGCATGTCTGCATCAACCATGTCATCGTCTATCCTGCAACACAATGCTACACTGAACCAGCCAATAAGTAGGCTGCAAGAAAGGCCTAGTTACCCTTTAATATGTAATTATAAACTAAAACAAAATAAGGGAACTTTGAATTTCATATTTCTTAAGATATTCATTGATCTATTATTAATATTAAAATATAATTTATTCTTAATGTAATGAACTGAAGGAAATTCGTTGTCTTAGAATTGAGTTAAACGAAATTTAAAAAAATGATGACAACCTTGAAAATAAATTGAAAGAAATTTTCTTTGGTTTACTGACAGAAAGAATACTCAGGATATAGAATAAATATTTGTGATTTTATATGAACAACTGTTGACTTAATATTAGTGTAAGAAGTGTTTGAGATTAATTTAGAATAAAAAGTGGGATATGAAATGTGGATAAAAGGGAGTCAGTGTTGAGCAGCTGTGAGACAGTGGTGGGCAGCTGTGAGACAGTCAGTGTTGAGCAGCTGTGAGACAGTCAGTGGTGGGCAGCTGTGAGACAGTCAGTGTTGAGCAGCTGTGAGACAGTCAGTGGTGGGCAGCTGTGAGACAGTCAGTGTTGAGCAGCTGTGAGACAGTGGTGGGCAGCTGTGAGACAGTCAGTGTTGAGCAGCTGTGAGACAGTCAGTGGTGGGCAGCTGTGAGACAGTCAGTGTTGAGCAGCTGTGAGACAGTGGTGGGCAGCTGTGAGACAGTCAGTGGTGGGCAGCTGTGAGACAGTCAGTGGTGGGCAGCTGTGAGACAGTCAGTGGTGGGCAGCTGTGAGACAGTCAGTGGTGGGCAGCTGTGAGACAGTCAGTGGTGGGCAGCTGTGAGACAGTCAGTGGTGGGCAGCTGTGAGACAGTCAGTGGTGGGCAGCTGTGAAACAGTCAGTGGTGGGCAGCTGTGAGACAGTCAGTGGTGGGCAGCTGTGAGACAGTCAGTGGTGGGCAGCTGTGAGACAGTCAGTGGTGGGCAGCTGTGAGACAGTCAGTGGTGGGCAGCTGTGAGACAGTCAGTGGTGGGCAGCTGTGAGACAGTCAGTGGTGGGCAGCTGTGAGACAGTCAGTGTTGAGCAGCTGTGAGACAGTGGTGGGCAGCTGTGAGACAGTCAGTGGTGGGCAGCTGTGAGACAGTCAGTGGTGGGCAGCTGTGAGACAGTCAGTGGTGGGCAGCTGTGAGACAGTCAGTGGTGGGCAGCTGTGAGACAGTCAGTGGTGGGCAGCTGTGAGACAGTCAGTGGTGGGCAGCTGTGAGACAGTCAGTGTTGAGCAGCTGTGAGACAGTCAGTGGTGGGCAGCTGTGAGACAGTCTGTGGTGGGCAGCTGTGAGACAGTCAGTTGTGGGCAGCTGTGAGACAGTCAGTGGTGGGCAGCTGTGAGACAGTCAGTGGTGGGCAGCTGTGAGACAGTCAGTGGTGGGCAGCTGTGAGCCAGTCAGTGGTGGGCAGCTGTGAGACAGTCAGTGGTGGGCAGCTGTGAGAAAGTCAGTTGTGGGCAGCTGTGAGACAGTCAGTGGTGGGCAGCTGTGAGACAGTCAGTGGTGGGCAGCTGTGAGACAGTCAGTGGTGGGCAGCTGTGAGACAGTCAGTGGTGGGCAGCTGTGAGACAGTCAGTGGTGGGCAGCTGTGAGACAGTCAGTGGTGGGCAGCTGTGAGACAGTCAGTGGTGGGCAGCTGTGAGAGAAACATGTTGAAGACTACAACACAGAGTAGTTGAGATTTCCACTGATTTTTAAGAAATGGAACGGCTGGTGTGTCATTCCATGGCCAGTGCGTTAACCACTGGGTCAGCTGGCTTTACTAAACTTGATCTAACTAGGTATAGTAAGTTCTCACTTAACGTCGTTTTATTATAACGTCGATGAGAAAAAATAAATTCTTGGCCAGGAATATTTATTCCTTGATTTAACTCTGTTGTAATGAACGCTAACGGTGCACTGTGCACATCTGATACTTATAACAATTAGTCTATGGTATAATTGGTTTCGTTATACATCTTTTCACCTAAGTTGCAGTTTCCAAGAACCTCTCGACAACGTTAAGTGAGGACTTACTGTATATAGAGACTGATTATCTCGAACTCCTCCTTATCTTGAGCAAAATGAGATAATTATTTTGTGGGAGAGAGACATTGTTGTGGAAAAACAGCTGGTTTAGCGTCATATTAAAATGATAACAGTGGACAAGTGATTGAATAATACTAAGAAATAAATTTCATATTTAGGTTTATATGTAGTAAAAGAGTGATGAAGCAATGTAAAAAGAGAGCAAATGAGAGAGTGGGTGAGATGTTATCAACAAATTTTGTTAAAAATAAGAAAAAGTTTTGGAGTGAGGTTAATAAGTTGAGGAAGCCTAGAGAACAAATGGATTTGATGGTTAAAAATAGAGAAGAGTTATTAAATGGAGAGTTATAGGTACCAGGGAGATGGAGGGAATATTTTGAGGAATTGTTAAATGTTGATGAAGATAGGGAAGCTGTGATTTCGTGTATAGGGCAAGGAGGAATAACATCTTGTAGGAGTGAGGAAGAGCCAGTTGTGAGTGTGAGGGAAGTTCGTGAGACAGTAGGTAAAATGAAACGGGGTAAGAGAAGTGAATGCTCGGATGTTGGCAAGAGGTGTGGGGATAAAAGATAAAGAATCTAACACAGAGTGGGAGTTGTCACAGTTGCTCTTTGCTGATGACACTGTGCTTTAGGAAGATTCTGAAGAGAAGTTGCAGAGGTTCGTTGATGAGTTTGGTAGGGTATGTAAAAGAAGGAAGTTAAAAATGAATATAGGAAAGAGTAAGGTGATGAGGATAACTAAAAGATTAGGTGACGAAAGATTGGATATCAGATTGGAGGGAGAGAGTATGGAGGAGGTGAATGTGTTCATATATTTGGGAGTGGATGTGTCAGCAGATGGGTCTATGAAGGATGAGGTGAATAATAGAACTGACGAGTTGAAAAAGGTGAGTGGTACAAAGTGAGTGGAGACAAAGAACTTTATCCATGAAAGCAAAGAAGGGAATGTATGAGAATATAGTTATACCAACGCTCTTGTATGGGTGTGAATGTTGCAACAAAGAGAAGGTTGGAGGCAGTGGAGATGTCATGTATAAGGGCAATGTGTGGTGTGAATATAATGCAGAGAATCTGTAGTTTGGAGATTAGGAGGAGGTGTGGGATTACTAAAACTGTTATCCAGAGGGCTGAAGAGGGGTTATTGAGATGGTTTGGACATGTAGAGAGGGTGGAACAAAATAGAGTGATTTCGAGAGTATACAAATCTGTAGTGGAGGGAAGGAGGGGTAGAGATCGGCCTAGGGAAGGTTGGAGGGAGGGGGCAAAGGAGTTTTTCTGTGTGAGGGGCTTGGACTTCCAGCAAGTGTGCGTGAGCGTGTTAGACGTGAATTGAGACAAATGGTTTTTAGGACTTGACACGCTGTTGGAGTGTGAGAAAGGTAACAATTTTGAAGGAATTCACTGAAATTGGCAGGCCGGACTTGAGTCCTGGAGATGAAGTACAGTGTCTACACTCTGACGGAAGGGTGGTAATGTTACAGTTTTATAACTAGTGTAAGCGTGCCTCTGGCAAGACAGTGATGGAGTGAATGATGATGAAAGTTTTACTTCTTCGGACCACCTGCCTTGGTGGGAAACGTCCGATGTATTAATAAAATAATAAATATGTACTCTAACTGACATAAAATCAGTAAATAAGATATTATAACGTACACAATTGAAAAAAATCAGGAAGATAAAAAAATGAGTGTTTGACTCCGTAAGAACAGTCTTATTGGATAAGATGTTTATCTATGTCTGGTTATTACTTAGTAGTGGATAAAGGAAAATAAGAAAAAAATGATACAAAATGATAAAAGAAGAGATAAATTGATGAAAAGGATATGAAAAAAATGTTTAGTATGCAATGTTAGACGTGGAAGAAGAGAGAAAGGCTGCAAGGGCGATGGAAGAGTACAGAAGAATGTCAAGTGAAAGAATATTTATGGGAAAACATTCTTACTTGGAATTATACTAATTAAGAGGAGCCGCCCAGCTGATAAAATACTGAACCATAAGTAACTGGTGACTCAGATTATTATAAACAATAAAACTGCCACTTGTCAGCAGCTCCAATGTTTTGCAGTTTCTGCTACGATGCTTAATTTTGTTGTCATCCTCATTTAATTTCAAGCCAGAACAATTCAAAATTACTAACAGTCAGAACTTTGCAGTAGGATGATTGACGGGGTTCGCTCTCCTCTTCCAAAAACAATGACTCAACAATGATAAAAACAATGACAAATATCATTATAATATTGTTATGAGGAGTATTACTTAAGTAACTTTTAGCCCAGGTACAACGAAAATAAAATTTAACAGCATATGACAACGGTATTCAACACGAGTGGGCTAGCTGGCCAGTTGCTAACGCGACGGTCTGGAGTATTGAGACTCTGATCGCGGGTTCTATCTCCGTCCGTGGTATGGTTTGACTTGGACTTGCCCAGCATGGGCCAGTAGGGCTGCCCCACTGCCATCTCTTATGTTGTTAGGTAAGACACATATGCAACAGTTAGGTATCTTTATTTCGAAACGTTTCGAAATAAACGTTTCGAAATAAAGATACCTAACTGTGGCATATGTGTCTTACCTAACAACCTGTCGGTATATTATACCATTTTAATGTTCAGTCTCTTATGTTCTTACGTCAGCTTACCTATGTGGCCGATGTGAGGCAGTCTCACCCTTTAAAAAAAAGTAGAATTGAATTACAATATTTATTTTTAAAGGGGTGGAGAATATATACAGTGTATGTACAATAAGGCAAATACAAGCAAGAGAGACGGTGAGAACCGTAGCGACCAGACTTGAAGGTAAGTCTGCCAAGGTCTATTCCCGGGCTTCTTCGTGATTGGCTGGTTGAACAAAGGTACTAGCATAACGATGGGGCCCTACTCGTTATACCCTTAGCACCTGGTTCACTGGTCGGGAGGGCAGCCTATATGGGTGTGTGTTATACGCCGAATAAAATGAAACACTCTTAGCAAGCTACTGGCTGGCGAAACGTTTCCTCAATAAAGATTCCCAAATCTTGCACATGTGTCTCATTCTTCACGGTAAGGTTAGGTAAGGTTAAATACGTTAGGTAAATGGACTCGGATGCAACTAATGTGGCATTTTATTGTGGCAACGTCAGGCTCTTCAGGAGCTTTGTCAAGGCGAGGCACAACGCGTACAGCACAAGAACTCATCCAATCATATAATGAGATTCAGTGACGGCCACCTAGTGAACAAAAAAGCAAACTTCCTCAGACGTAAATATCTTGAATCATCTTTAACAGCCATTTCAGACACCATTAAACAAAATGAAAGTAATTTCATCATTTCGGGGTTATTAGCCAGAATTATACTCATAACAATAAACCCTTCTATCACTTAGCAACCTAATGTTACCTCCACTCATTCTACCACTACTACTACTATTACTACTACTACCACTACTCACATCCACGAGAGAGGTACACTGAAGCACATGGCTTCTTCCGAGAGGAAGAGGTCCCACTGTTCCAAGGACACAACCAAGGACTCGGATTCAGAAATGTGAGGCGCAGTTCTGGCGAAGAAACTGTGAGACCATTCACTGGACTCATAGGACAGCGATACAAGTGAAATCAGCCTGGCCAGTGAAACAGGTATGAATGAAGAAATGCCCATCTCAACCACAGAAATATCTCATGGAGAAGGTGGGCAGGAAACACGATCTTTAAAGTCCAAAAGGAGGCTCACTGTTTCCTTGCAGATCAGTCAAGTTAAACCATCCGTTGGCAACAAATTCTGATTCATCAACAAAGAACACCTCGTATTCTGCTATAATTTACCTGGAGACAATTCGTCCTGAAGATATCAGTGTCCCCAAACCGGAGAGTTTATTCTCATTCCCCGAAACATAAGAGTCCTATGAAGTACTGCAGAAGGTGAACGACTTCGAATCATAACTTTTTCTCACTGAACTTAAATACACAGAGCGGATGACAAAAGTCGTATTAATGCGCTATCCGCTAGACATGCCTCTGGATGCAATCCATACCATGGAAAACATCGAGAAAGCTGAGCGGCTCCGAGCCAAGAAGGACGGCAACGTTCCTACGAGTCAGGTCTTGATCCAGCATAAATGAAGTGCTTCAGGTGCCAGAGGTACAACTATCTCAGCGCTTGATGTCACTTTTAAGAATTATAAGTCATCTGCAGCGGTTCTCTCTCAACCAAGGACTGCTGGATAAACTAAAAATCAGGAGAGGCTACGGAACCCTCGGTGTCCGAACTGCGGCAAGAAACATCATACCTGGAACCTGCGCTTTATTCAATCCATCACAATTATATTTCAACAACTGATTTCCATGTAAACTTGACTTTTGCGGTGACTGTAACAATTAAATTTTCTTACACGTGTGAAAAGAGTATTAGAATTCTGGCCCGACAGAGGTTATGTATATGTTGCTGTAATTATAAATTCAGTTTCCCGAGACTTTCCACAGGAAACAAAGAATATACTTACTGAGAATTATATACATGTATTTCTCAACGTATATTAAGTGCCAGTTGACTTCGTTGTAACTTTAATGATTCTCATGTAGTCGATAGACTTTAAACCCAGAAATTCAACCAATCTGAATAAATTTTGCTACACTGTGTCAAGAAAGGGATTTAGTTGACAAAACTAATACTCCTCAGGGAATGAGCTCCTTGACAATGTGGTAAAATATTTGACAAAAACACTCTGACATTGTATTTGTAGTGTATTGAATTTGTTGCATATAAACATAAAGTCACGTAGGTTCACACAAAGAATACATTTTAGTAAATGTAGAAATGCATACTAGATCTAAGCCTACACAGGAATAATATACATATAGTACAAGAGCTACCAATAATAACTAACTTTACAAATTTCAACCAATAGTTAATTGTCTTTCATTACCTGAAACGACCCGGCTCCTCATTGGTGGATTGCTCACTTGCACTCATAGTCCGAAAAGGAGCGTACTCAGTTGTACTCATGGTCAGCGTGGGAGAGACATACTCACTTGTACTCATGGTCAGAGGCGATATTCATTTGTACTCGTGGAGGGAGTAGGAGAAAACTCAGAGTAGGAGGTTACTCACTTATACTCATGGTCAGAGTAAGACGCAGTGTAGAAGGCAGAGTCGCTGAGGTGAGAATCTGCAGACTTTTCTGAGGCTCTGTTGGACCTCCTGAAGGAGGAGGAGTGAGTGCGGGAGCCTCCGCCGTGGTGACTGTGGTACCTTGATGGGATAGGAAAGGAACACAGGTCAGGGAGCCCAAACCATACACTACAGTTCTACTCTGCCTGCACTCCTCTTACTGTTCTATCCAGTCCAGTGGACAGGTGAGAGTGTCATGGATTGTGTGGCACATACAAGAAACTCAAACCACTGGTAGACATTGTGGAGGATATTCTATAGGTTGGGGATATTTTTACATTTACCCTCTGGGAGCCTTGCTATTTTTCCATGATGATTGCTAGCGTCCATCCCATTCGAAATTGCTAATAGATGCTATTATTCTATTCTTTATTTGTAACAAATTGGATTACCCATTTAAAGAAAGCATAAACTACTATATAGAAAAATCTAATTTAATGCAACCAAATTTATCCTAATCAAACTTAGTGAAATTCGATATACCAGTAACCCGTAGAAGGTGTTTATGTGAATAACAGAAAAAGTTGATTAAATTTTCCTTATTTTAGCAACCAAACTTTAATATTATTTGTTCATGCATTAATTGTTTCAGCAGATATATATCTAGACTCCAGGAGCTGAACAATCCTCTAGACTCCAGGAGCTGAACAATCCTCTAGACTCCAGGAGCTGAACAATCCTCTAAACTCTAGGAGCTGAAGAAACCTCTAGACTCCAGGAGTTGAAAAAACCTCTAGACTCCAGGAACTGAACAAACCTCTAGACTCCAGGAACTGAACAAACCTCTAGACTCCAGGAACTGAACAAACCTCTAGACTCCAGGAACTGAACAAACCTCTAGACTCCAGGAGTTGAACAATCCTCTAGACTCCAGGAGCTGAAGAAACCTCTAGACTCCAGGAGCTGAAGAAACCTCTAGACTCCAGGAGTTGAACAATCCTCTAGACTCCAGAAGCTGAAGAAACCTCTAGACTCCAGGAGCTGAAGAAACCTCTAGGCTCCAGGAGTTGAACAATCCTCTAGACTCCAGGAGCTGAAGAAACCTCTAGACTCCAGGAGCTGAAGAAACCTCTAGACTCCAGGAGTTGAACAATCCTCTAGACTCCAGGAGCTGAACAAACCTCTAGACTCCAGGAACTGAACAAACCTCTAGACTCCAGGAACTGAACAAACCTCTAGACTCCAGGAGTTGAACAATCCTCTAGACTCCAGGAGCTGAACAATTCTATAGACTCCAGGAGCTGAACAATCCTCTAGACTCCAGGAGCTGAACAATCCTCTAGACTCCAGGAGCTGAACAATCCTCTAGACTCCAGGAGCTGAACAATCCTCTAGACTCCAGAAGCTGAACAAACCTCTAGACTCCAGAAGCTGAACAAACTTCTAGACTCCAGAAGCTGAACAATCCTCTAGACTCCAGGAACTGAACAAACCTCTAGACTCCAGGAGCTGAACAAACCTCTAGACTCCAGAAGCTGAACAAACTTCTAGACTCCAGAAGCTGAACAAACTTCTAGACTCAAGAAGCTGAACAAACCTCTAGACTCCAGGAGCTGAACAATCCTCTAGACTCCAGGAGCTGAACAATCCTCTAGACTCCAGGAGCTGAACAAACGAGGGTAGCTAGCAGTAAGTCTGACAAGCTCACACACATGCTAAAGAATTACAAACTTGTACTTGAGGTCGCAGCAATAAATAACGAGGAACCTGATTCAGAAGTATGTGACTTGGTTCACACTACCTGCCGTCTGATGACTGACGACGTGGTTGAAGAACACATTTGATGTTGTTGAAGCAATGTTGAGAATGCAGGCATCGCACTGCACGTACATAGGGCGGCAAACTAGGTCACAATTACAGAACCAACGAAGGAATGATGTAAGCGTGTTCCTCCACGTCCTAACCATGAGACAGACACACTGTTCATGTAGCCAGGCTTCCCACGCGCTGTTATATTCTCACGATGGTCATTACCATTCCCGATTACTCAGAGTCACTGGTGATGATAGATCCCTCCATGTATGAGGTGATAAAAGCTGTTGTCCAGGTTAGCTGTGATCAACCACAGTTCAAGACAAACCCAATGTATGTTTGCCAGGAAGACAGAGAGGAGGAGAAACACCATCATACACAAGGGTGATTACCAGTAGTTCCCAGGCTGTTTTCTAGAGGAAACTGAATAAATACCTAAAGTCTGTGCCTGATTAGCCGGGTTGTGGTTCTTACGATGGATTGCATGCGGCTAGGAGTAACAGCCTGGTTGATCAGGCCCTGATTCATCGGGAAGCCTGGTCGAAGACCGGGCCCCGGGGATTGGGAAGGGGCGTCGACCCCGCAGAACAACCTTTCACAGCCTCCAGCCTCCTCATTGCAACGTTCAAAACCCATAACTCACACCATATTACAATGTTGGTTCTATTATACTCCGGTACATTCCCTTTTTTTGTCTCCATAAGTAAATTTCTTTGTCACTTGAGTTGCACCTCTCACTGTTTCCTTTCATCGGTTCCATGGTTTACCTCATTTCTCGAATGAAATGCTTGTGCAATATTTGCATATCTTTACTGAGGAAACGTTTCGCCAGCCGGTGGCTTCTTCAGTCCAATAGAGAGAAGAATGGAGAAAGATAAGGAGTGTGAGGTAATCAGTCCCTCAACCTGGAGTCGAAATGTTCAGTCCATCATCTTTCTCCATTCTTCTCTGTATTGGACTGAAGAAACCACTGGCTGGTGATATGTTCTCTAAATAAACTTTCCCAAATATTACACAAGTGTCTCATTCTTCAATTAGTCGTTTTCTAAACTATTTACATCACACTTCATTTTTCACAGTCACGTCTGTAAACATGTCCATTCTTAAATATGCGAAGACATTAACTTCTTCCATCTTCTCTCCCTTTTATCTGATATCTAATCTATCGCTGACAAGAATTTTGGTTACTTTCAGCTCATTGCTTTTTCTTATGTTCATTTTTAATTTCTTGTATATACCCTTCCAAATTCCTACTTGAAATAAATAGTCTAATTCCATCCATAACGTTCACTGGTGAGTCAAAATACCTTATTGTTATTTTTGTTTTAATTATTACAAGGAACCAAAATTTTAAATTAAAAATATCCACAATATATAAACAACAACAACAAATAACTGCTCTTATTTACATTATTCTTCTTCACATCATGACAGAGTTAACAGACACGTAAGTTCCTCCGTCTTCTAATAATATGGTAATTTTTCCACTATAATTTACCTTCTCCATAATTTCTATCGGATTTTCTTTGTCTGTTTCTTAAGGTGAAGTCTAGGAGATTTCTTTAATTCATGGTATAACTTAACAAATCTTTGAGGACAATTGTGTTGTAGAGATGTGAGCTTTGCTCACATCTCTACAACATGAGATGTGAGCAAAGTTCATATCTCTACAACAAAGATATTTATGATGTGCGCTGTTAGTGTTATCGGTCTGAAATTCTTTCAAATGTTTTAAAGCCAACTTTGTGGAGTGGGGCTATATCTGTTGTTTTTAGTGACTGTGGGATGACCCCTGTGTCTACTCTCCCTCTCCATAGAATATTTAAGGCACATGAAAAGGGTTTCTTGCAGTTCTTGATGAACACGGAGTTTCACGAATCTGGGTCTGGGGCAGAGTGCGTGGTCAATGTCATTTATTGCTTTTTTAAAGTCCTGTGGTATTATGAGTATATCAAAAATTCTTGAACTAACCAAATTTTGAGTTTCGGTCATAAAAGAATTTTTTTTGATTGTCAACCCTTAGTTTGATTAGCGGCTAACTAAACGTTGATTCATACTGGGACTTCAGTATCTAACTCATTTCTTTGCTGTCATCTGTTTAAGTCCCATCTCGTTTAAGCAGGGATCCAATATTGTATGGCTTCAAGAGCTTCCTCTGTTTCTTGGCCTTCTGTATGATTCCTTAAACTTAAGTTCGACACTTTCTATTTCTCTGGTCAGTGCCTCCTTCTGTATTTCAGATAGACTGGCCCTTTTGAGGAGCTCTGTGATTCTTCATCCTCGCATGTAGAGGAAGCATCTCTCTCTTTTGAGTTTACATCTTCTTTTTTTTTTCTTAGGGGAATGTGCTTTGAGCATACCTCAAGCGCAGCAGAGTTAATTATTTCTAGGAAAAATTCGGATCATTGTTGTTCAGGATATCTTCCCAGCTTGTTTCATTTAGAATATAGTTAATTTGATCCCACTGAATGTTTTTGTTATTGAAATTGAATTTAGTGAAGGCACCCTCATAACTGATCTCATTTTGTTGCTCATGAGCCCCTGTACATACATGTCTGTACTTCGATTATGTTGTGATTCGAGTGTATTGTCTTTGATGCTGTTGTATTTCGTATCCAATCATCATTATTAGTGAAGATAAGCGAATTTTCTAGTCTTGTTAGCTTGTAGATGAATGGTTCAAAGAACCGACATGTTAAATTAGACACATGTGCAACTCTTGGGTATCTTCATTGAGGAAACGTTTCTCCACACAGTGGCTTCATCAGTCCATACATAGGAGAAACTTGAAGAACAGGAGGAGAATGAGGTAATCAGTCCCTCAACCTTGAGACGATGTGGTCAGTCCATCAAGATTGATGGACTGACCACATCGTCTGAAGGTTAGCTCCACTTGTGCTGACTTAAGGTGAATTTGTTACAGAGATTTAATAGCTCATCTGAGCTGCCTCCTGGGGTTATCTTTGCTAAAATATTATTTATTACATTCTTCCATTTTAGGTGTCTTAAGTTGAACTCACCCAGCAACAAGATATTTGGGGCCGGGGTTGAAAGAGTTTCCAGACAGTGGTAATTTTTCAGAAGCTGTTCCTTGAATTGTTGGGAAGTTGTATCTGGTGACTTGTATACAACCACAATGACAAGGCTTTGGTTTTCAGTCTTAGCTGCCAAAACTTCAACTACATTATTTGTGGTGTTTAGTGATTTTGAACAAATGCGCTACTCTGTGACAAACAGGTCAACCTCGCCTTGTTGCCTGTTCTTTCTGTCGCATCTGAATAAGTTGTTCCCTGGTATCCATATTTCGATGTTAAAGTGATCTTCTGTGT